TGGCTGACACTTTCAAGCTTCTTTACTGCTATGACAGATGAATCAGGCAGGGTCCCTTTGAAAACAGAACCAAAGCCTCCTCCCCCCAATTTTTCTGAGAAGTTCTTTGTTGCATCTTGCAGATCTCTGTACCCAAAGGCCACCAATGAACCCTCTACTGCTTTTCCCGTTCCAGTCACTCTCTTCCTTTGTCTCAAGATTACAACCACAATAAGGCCTAAGAGAATTGCTATTCCAGCAGCTGAGCCTGCCACAACACCAATAATCAATCCCTTATTGCTTTTAGGACTCTTAAACTCTGAAGCTGCAAGTCTGAGGTACAAAGTTATTCCCTGACTATCACTTGATGTGAATTCTTGCAGATTGAAGAGGTCTCCGATCCAAATTGAACATCCACTGCTATTATAAGCATAAGCAGTGCAAGAGCAATTATTTAAGCAGATTGATTTACATCCAGCAATAGTCTCAACCTTCACAGACTGCTCATTTTCAGGCAATGACATCCTAGCCATTTTAAACTGGTCTTGCTTCCCGTCAGCGCTAGTAGCATTCTCACAATGCAGAGGGGTTTTTCTTTTACACCCACCAGAATAAGCCTGCAAATACCAATCCCTCTGCAACTTTGGCTCAAAACCTGTCAAACAATTACAGGAGATCGGGCTTACCTCGTTGCAACTGCCGAATGCCCCGCATAAATCATAAACTTCACATTGCTTTCTTGGTTGTTTCCAAAACAAATTCCACTGGCTGGAAATCTCCAACCATGTGAGTTGCTGAATCTGCCCTGAGGTATGCATCACGAATCGAGATATTGTCTTTGGATTATAAAGAGAATAGGTGAAATAACTTTCGTTTTTGTTTGTAACATAGCTGAAATTGTAGATATAGTTAAGCCTCATCTCAGGAACCCCGCTGAAAATACGTGAGTTTGCATCCCATGCTCCACTGCTCCAATACTGTCTAGACCTATTCCAAAGTAAGCGATATGCATTACTTCCATTGGGGTCAAGCTCAAGAGTGAAAAGACCTGGTGCAGGATCCTCTGAACTCTTCCATGAAGTGAGAATTAAGGTTTGATTGGTGACAGTGTTGAATCCAATTCTAGCTCCTGGTAGCCATGTATGAGCTGGATGATCAAAGCTTTGCCACAAAGGCTCTGATGTATTAGCATTAGACCCAGCAGTTCTTAAGACAAGGTTTCCACTATCTAAAAGAACTGCTTGTGCAGAACCTGAGGTGGTGGTGGAGGCTAAATTTGTGGACCAAATTGGAGTGTTGGACTCATTAAAGAGAACTAAATTACCATCTGAGATCCTCAAGACTGAAGAAAATCTATCAGAAACTGGTGTTTCCCTATTTGCCACCCAAACTATGGTCTCCAAAGATACTAGTTGTTTAGAGTACCACATGCCTATGTAGTAGTTTGAAGAATTACCTGGTTTGAAGAAACCCAGCTCAAAAACCTTTCCTGCAGAGACAATAGTTTGATCACCAGAGAGAGATTGGTTTGCATCAATGGTGTCAGCTGCAAGGCAAACATGGGTTTTGAGATGTAGGCATAAGCAAAGCAAAAGCACCAAACTTCGTTTGGTTTTGGCATCCATGGCTGCACAAAACCGATTTGCAGACAAGTTCTAGATACTGTATTGCACCAAGAACATAAGCTTTAAAGAAAGGAGAGAGAGAGAGAGAGAGAGAGAGAGAGAGAGAGAGAGAGAGAGAGAGAGAGAGAGAGAGAGAGAGAGAGAGAGAGAGAGAGAGAGAGAGAGAGAGAGAGAGAGAGAGAGAGAGAGAGAGAGAGAGAGAGAGAGAGAGAGAGAGAGAGAGAGAGAGAGAGAGAGAGAGAGAGAGAGAGAGAGAGAGAGAGAGAGAGAGAGAGAGAGAGAGAGAGAGAGAGAGAGAGAGAGAGAGAGAGAGAGAGAGAGAGAGAGAGAGAGAGAGAGAGAGAGAGAGAGAGAGAGAGAGAGAGAGAGAGAGAGAGAGAGAGAGAGAGAGAGAGAGAGAGAGAGAGAGAGAGAGAGAGAGAGAGAGAGAGAGAGAGAGAGAGAGAGAGAGAGAGAGAGAGAGAGAGAGAGAGAGAGAGAGAGAGAGAGAGAGAGAGAGAGAGAGAGAGAGAGAGAGAGAGAGAGAGAGAGAGAGAGAGAGAGAGAGAGAGAGAGACAAGAACATAAGCTTTAAAGAAAGGAGAGAGAGAGAGAGAGAGAGAGAGAGAGAGAGAGAGAGTGGACTTGAATTTTCTATTCTACCCCATGGTTTTGGTCATTTGGTGGAGATTGGACTCGGGCAGCTGTGCGGCAAAGTCATCATCGTGCCATTTGTGGCAAAAACTTAAAGATCAACTCTTCTGTCTGCAAGTAAAATTTTGTCACCTTTGGAGAAACTCAGGTCATGCATGTATGAACAGCGCCTTACTTACGTTTGAGCAACTTTGCGTTTCAATTGTTTCATTATTGAAAATTTATATTTGAGAAAATTCAAGAATTCAGCGCCTTACTTACGTTTGAGAAAATTTATATACCTTCTTCTACAATCAACAAGAATTCAGTCATGACCAATTCTACTATCTACCCACCAACAGATAAACAAAAAGTTTGAAACTTGGACCCATTGGCTAGATTTTCCTTTTGTTTTGCCGTGTTGAAAAGGCTACACAAATCACTTTCTTTGCTAGATTTGTGCTTTATTGCTGTAATAACTTGTATCCTTCGTCCAGGGCAGAGGCAAATATTTTTCCAACCAATGTAGCTTGTGGCTGGCGGTTCATCAGATAGAAAATTTTCACTGGTTGGGTTCATACGGAAGCAATCTCAGCCGTTCATTTCATCTGTTTCTTTCTGATAAATGTTGAAACCAACCTTAGTACTTGAAGGGAAAAGTCCAATAATAAAGACTCATTCATCGCAGCCCTGCTTGTTGCTAGGTTCTATCTTGACCTCTGGTCAAGCTTTTTTAGCTAGTTGGCAGAAATATAGTGGCAGAAAAATAAATATAAGGAGAGCGCAAATTGTGCTACCCCACTACTAACTTAACTTGTGCATTATTGCAGGAGCATGGGATGTTTAATTAATAGTCTTTGATGGGTCTTTGGGGGCCTCAATGTCTCTTACAATTTGTATATATGAATGATCAGTTTGGGATATTTATTAACAAACATGCAGCATAAATATAAGGGGAGTGCTAGCAAATCACCCAATTGTTGTTTGGCAAAGTTTTTGTTTTTGTTTATTTGTTCGCTCTTGTGCGCAGGTAGATCATTGAAAATCATATTTTCTCCAGATCTGTTACGGATGCGGTGGTGGGTGTGGCCACGACGACGCTTCATCAGGTGGTGGTGGTAGGGTTCGTCTAGGCTTATGGGTTGTTTTCGGGTTTTGCTTATGCTAGGTTTGTGGGCTTTGTTTGAGCTTATGGTTAATTGTGGTGATGTGGGCTTGTAATTTTAATGTGGCTTTTGTCCGCGTTAGTTGTGTTTTTAGCATGTTAGTTTGTTGCCCTCTTGGGATTGGCATTTTAGATGTTTTGTTGACGTATTTAATTGTACCGTTGAAGTTTATCTAATGAAGTTTCTATTTGATCAAAAAAATAAAAAATAAAAACACTCTCTAGCCTTCTCTTTTAGACTTTCTTCATTTTCCTAATGACATGTGTCACTTTACTTACACTTAAAACAATGTCATTAATACCAACAGGAGTTGGTCCAAGTGGAAGGGGCTTGGATCCTTTAAACAAGAGGTCTTGGGTTCGATCCCAGGCGCTTGCGAATAGAGCAGACTTTGTTGGGAGAGGTCCCCGCTTTGCGCCCGACAGTACCTCGAGGGTTAGTCCCCGCAATCGCGCGGGGGATACCTTGGTTTTCACCAAAAAAAACAATGTCATTAATACTTGAGACAAACTAGCTTTTGTTTTCCTAATCTACCCTTACTAAATGTATTGACTTTTATGTTTATTTCAATTAATCCATTTTTTTTTACAACTTTCTTATCATCTTGTTAAAAATTAAATAAGAAAAAAAAAAGGTCAGATTTTTTATTTAAAAAAAATCAACAGGAAACAACCTAAAAGTTAGTTCCATATGGCGGAAATGGATGAGATGGTAAAAACAATTCTTGGAACACTTACATCATTTCAGTGAATTCAACATCAACATGCATCCAAGACCCAGGCATTTTCATACATGTTTGTTTCCACGTGAATTTGCATTTTTCACCACACGTGTGATTCTTCATCAATATATGATATATCACTTTTAAATTAATTTTTTTTAACAGCGTAATAAGAAAATTGTACATAAAAATTAAAGGATAAATTGAAGGAAACATGAAAGTCAATATTTAAGGGCCCTATATTTAATAAGGGTAAGCTTGGAAAACAAAAGTTAGCTTGTCTCAAGTATTAATGACATTATTTTAAGTGTAAAGAAAATGACACATGTCATTATGAAAGGGGAAAATGTCCAAAAGAGAAGGTTAGAGAGAAAGTTGCTATCATTCCCCCTAAATATAAATCAACCATAATGCTGATGATGTGACAAATCATATAAATTTTCATGTTACCTTTTGAGAATTTAATTTATTTTGTTGTTGTAAAAGTTTGGAAGGGGGAATGGAAGGTGTCATTGGGCCGTTGGCATCTTCTCAAAAAATTAGCAAACATAAAATTTGAGATGATATGTGGTGCCAGGGCTTCTTTGTTAGAAGATTTGCCAGAGCTATTTAGAAGAAGTTGTTTCTTATTATTGGGCCACAGGCCCCATAAAACCAAAAAACTGCAAACTCTTCCACAACAATAAAAATGGGATTTTGTCAAAATTAATTTCTTACCAATCGATTGTCATGAGTTTCAAACCAGAAATGAAGTGTAGTGATGTCTTTTTGTACGCTTCTGATTTTTCCTTCCCAGAAATTACCTTCAAATCCAATAACGACATAAGGTTTCTGAATCACATACCACGCCACGCGTATGAATTAATTAATCCAAAACAGACAGACATGTCATTGTCAGCTCCTCCCGGCAATTCACAGATAATAGGAACATAAACATTATCTCTCCACTGACTATGGGCATGACGCCAATCAAACATCCATGCCACTCACTGAGTCATCATCCTCCATTATAAATCAATACTTGCAAGGATGTTTACATCTTCATGACCATTGTTGATTTTTATTTTTATTTTATTTTTTTTGTGTGGATATTTAGATTCATCAAAATAGTATAGCATAGCATCCCACCAAGTATCCAAATTAGTACCAAAAACCGACAATGAACCCACCACCGTCCGTACACATCCAACCTTCCTCCCCGCGCTTCCCGCTGACCAGCGCCGCCCCAACAGCCTCCGGCGGGGACCAGCGGAAGGTCGCGATCGCTGTCGATTTAAGCGAGGAGAGCGCCTTCGCCGTCCAATGGGCTGTACAGAACTACCTCCGGCCCGGGGACTCCGTCGTCCTCCTCCACGTGCGCCCCACGACCGTCCTGTACGGCGCCGATTGGGGCTCTGTCGACCCCAACCTCCCCAACGACGCCGTTTCCTCCTCCGAGTCCCGGCAGAAGCTGGAAGACGACTTCGACGCCTTCACCACAACCAAAGCGGCCGACCTGGCACAGCCGCTGGTGGAGGCTCAAATTCCGTTCAAAATCCACATAGTTAAGGACCACGACATGAAGGAGCGGCTGTGCTTGGAAGTCGAGAGGCTTCAGCTCGGCGTCGTCGTTATGGGTAGCCGCGGCTTCGGCGCCGCCAAGCGAGCCGCCAAGGTGGGCCGGCTCGGCAGCGTCACCGATTACTGCGTCCACCACTGTGTTTGCCCAGTTGTGGTGGTGAGGTTTCCGGATGACTCGGACGGGTCCGAACCCAATGGCCCTAACCCGGTCGAGCTCCACCCGGTGCCTGAGGAGGACCAGGAGGAGCTCAGTGACGCCGATTCGGGTGAAGATGACCCTCAAGGTTTGACTGGCTATATATCATCAAATATTTATGATTTACTTGACTGAAAATTGACCTAGTCTGGATATTTTTTTTTGTTCTTTTATGTTGCAGAAATTGCTTGAGAAGGCAACAGGGCTGCATGGGTTAAAGGTTGAAGGGTTTTGCATGGGTTAAATCTTATTGTAATTATGGAAGGTGTAAATTGTTCTTTACTTTGCTGCCTCTGTTCTCATTGTAAACTGTAAATTGTGTGCAAAATCACTCTCTTTTGATATTTATTTCATGCATCGTTCATTGATCTTGTTCAAAATAAGCAGGATGGAACAATTTCCAACACAACCAACATCTTTGAACAAAAGAAATTCAACCATTTAACAAACTAATAGGGTGTTCAGAAAGAGCAGAAAATGAAGTATCACAAAGTTAATACATAATGCAAACATAGAAATCCAAACACAAACCAAAACCCAACAAAATGTTTGAACCACTACAAAGCATGAAAATAAAACCTCACATAGCTGCCATAGTTCCCTCGCTCCGACTCCTGCGCATGGAGAGGTCCTGTTTGAGGTTCATAAGTTTGCTGCCCAAATCAAAGTGGTGATGTCGACTATGTGTTGATGCTTTAGTTCCACTGGGAGGGAGTTGCCCATGACGAGCCCTGGACTTCTTCAGTGGCACTACAGATTGATTTCCATGGCCGTGAGTTGATGAAGTTGATGGCCTGTGAGAAGATATACCGTGGCTAGCCTTCCTTGGAGCCTTGTGATCTGGTCTAAGGCCACGATCAAACTGGTGGTTACTAATGCCTAACCGCACGGACCGATCTGCAGCATCCTTCAGAGTGCTGGTCTTGATCTGCTGCCGGTTGTAGTAAGCCATGTGGGGAAGAAGTCCTTGCAGATACTTCTTCAATTGGTCGTCTCCAACATTCTTCTGAGCTGGGTTTCCTTCCAAGCTGATGGCTTGCAAGGAGTTGTAGTTAGCTGCAAGCTGACCTAGGCACTTTGCTGTCGAGATTTTGTTAAAACGCAGATCCAGAACGGTCAGTTTTAAGAGGCGATGAAGACCCTCCACCTCACTGATTTTGTTTCCAGCCAAGTACAACTCCTTGAGAGAGGAACAAGAAGCTAGGCCTTCGAAAACGGAAAAAAATTAAGTTATGACATGAACTATTCAGGGGTAATAAACAAGAAAGCCAACAACTTTTTGAGAATTATATAATTCAACGTAAGCACCTACCATGTCCAATTCTCAAAATCCTGTTGTAGCTCAGGTCCAGGACACGAAGTCTTGTGAGTTCACGCAAACCTTCAATGGTAGAGATATTGTTTTTTGACAGATTCAACATATGAAGTCCTCTAGGAAGAGCACCAGCAGTTATCCTCACTGCAGCGAGTATGCAAACATAATGAGCACAAAAGCATACCGAAAGAACAATGATAAATATTCGAATCGAACAGATGAGTGAAGAGAGGCGAACCTATGGAATTTCCAGATAAATTGACCACCTTCAGATTTACAAAAGCACTAAGAAATGGGATCACTACTAATCCATGATTTGCCAGGTGAGCTGTGGTGGCAGCTGCACTCAAAGAAGATATATATCTTTTAGCAGCTTCCATGCCAGGTGTGACCTTAGCATCCGTCTTAGCAGCAACCAAACCATTTGAGTCATTGGAGTCTCTCTTCACCTGATCATTAGATTGGGGCAATTCATTTGTTTCTTCCAACGGGCTGCTATGCTGAAGATTATTAACCCATTCCTCAATGCGCTTAACCCTAAAATCCTTGCTTGGCAATTCATTCCAACTTTGAACTGAGGATTCTCCTTGGAGGTTTTTCTCCGTGCGTACCTCATCTGTAGCCGGCACTATCCAGTCCTTTGCATAACCAGAGTAGTTGCAGGAATCATAACCATCATCAATGGAGTTTTCAAAATTACGGTTCTCAGATTTACCCCCGATATCATCATCCTTTCCTTGAATTACCTGAATTTCAGCCTCATGAACTGAAATCCCTTTCCGTTGTATGCCTAAGACATGTAGGTCCTCAGAAGATCTTGAATGCACTGGTAAACAGTTAATAGGAGAATGCCCCTCGGTAGTCGGAGAACAAGCACTGATGTTTGCAAAAGAATGTGATTTAACAAGCCCTTGTGGTGCACGGGGTGTATGGTCACCAGAGTCAATACCAAACTCTCCAGATGGTGGAGTATCAGAATTTTCAGGGCCTTCCTTTTCTGTATGTAATGGTTCTCCGATTGAGAAAATTGATTCATTATTGACAATTCCAGAACTTACCTGACAATAGTCTGATGTAGGACTTGTCTGACATTGTTCAGGTGGGCTTTCTCCTCTGTCCCTACTTCCATCTGGTACCACCAATCCGTTGTGATCCTGAGAACCATCACAAGAAATTCCTTGATCAGTCTCATCCTCGGCGTCATTGTTAGCAGAAGCCCTCCCCTTCAGGTATAATGCACTTCCTAGTGACCTACTCTTTATAATGCGCCCTGTCTGAGTAACCTTGAGGTCACTTTCTTTAATGAAGCTGCTTTCCATATCACCTGATTTCCAATCAGCTTCAAGAGAAGATACATGCTTTAAACTGCTACTAACTTGAGAAATTCCTTCTGTCTGTGATGGGTTTAAGCTTGTTTTGCCAGATGAATTCTTCAAAGCTTGATTTTGAGAACAAACTTGTAATGTTTTATGCATTGCTTCAACAGAAGGTTGAAGAGTTTTCTGTTTGAAAAACAAGACTTGGAATCAAAATAAGCCGTGAATCATCAAACTAATCATAATAAATCACAAGTGTCGACAACCAAACGTGATGATTGTTCCACTTACCTTAGGTTTGGGGCAATGGACGTGAGCTTGGAAACATGAAAACCTAACCATTACTGGCAAACTACCAGGGCTACATCAACACATGAACTACTTTCGATCGCACCGAAAACTATCAACGGCAAACTATTGTGCTCATTATTGTCTGGAAGCTCGAATGAACGTGATCTTGTTATGTACACTGAAGAACTACCATCAAGCTTCCAAAAGTTTAACCCTGGATGGCCTTAGCCATAATCAAGCGACAAACCCACTGAAACACGGCACAATCTCCAGATGTGTGATGATCTTGATCTCCTTAAAACACAAAGCAAAATCACTCTCTCATTATTACCCCACACCCTTTTAGAGGTGCGAGAAGAAATTAATTTTGCTGCAGCGGCCAGACTGAAAGAAATTATCTGTCAATTGGGGAACCCCAACCAGAACATACACAAGAGCTGCTGGCCTGAGAAACAGAAGGAAAAACCAAAAAGTGACTTCAAAGTATATGTAACGCCCAGGGAAACAATACAGGAATATAACATAATGGGTTATAATTTCAATTTGAGGTACAACACAACATGAACTTGCAAGAATCCATGCCAAAAGATGGAGTGAAATATCATGCTTGCTTCTATACACACTAAATCTCTAATAAAAGTGTAATGTGTTAATCATATAAATTGATCATAAATTCTTTATGTTGTTGTTGCTATATATAAACCAAAAGCAATATATATAAATAAATAAAAAACTATTCGAATGCATGAACAATTAGCTCCTTCAGATGGCTAGATGGGAAAAAGAAAAAAGAAACATACTTGGAAATGCTCAGTATGGATAATTAACATTGAAATTGGTGACAAACTGAAATCAAACACAACCCAATACAGGATAAGTAAAAATAAAAAGAAACAACAACAAGAACATGTGTGTTATAAATAACAATAAAAAATCAGAAACCCAGAAAAGAAAGATGGAGAAAACGAATTGCAGAAACAAAGATCTGACCTTTCCTTAGCCAGATTGTAATAGAGGGCACGCACTGTAAGAGAAAGACCTTGGTTTTCTTCTTCTGCAGCAGAAACTTACAAACTTATTGGAATGCAAATGTTTGTATGTATTAACATATGGTTTTGAATATACGGCGTGAGCTAAAGGCCAAGCCGACTCTTTAACGCTAACCCTAAGCTCGTGGCTGTGATTTATAGGCCCCAATCAACGGCACTGATTTTGTTCTTTTCCTTGTTTTTTCCCAATTTATTTAGGTTTGTTTGGGAGGAAAGAAAATCATGGAAAGAGGAAAGAAGATGTGGAATTGGAAACCGACTGAATTAGATTCTGTATTTTGTTCACATTTGTTTGGTTAATTTGAGGCTGGCGAAGAATTTGTGCTCTGTATTTTTTTGGTTAAATAAATGAGAGAATTTGCGTCCACAAACGCTACGAGCTGTGAGGGCCTGTCTTCATGCACCGTACCCAAAGGCGCTCATTCAGCGGTTCTTCTTTCTTTTCTGTTTGTTTGTTTATTTTTCCTCTTTTTCACCGTTTTTTTTTCTTCTTCTAGGACATAAAAATGGTTATTTATTTATTTATTTTGGTATGTATTTTATATAATCTATAACACCAATCACATAATGACACGATTGACAGAAAAAATTTAAAAGATAATGTGTATTTCTATTTCTTTTCTTCTCTTTTTTAATCTCCCCACCGCAATTGTCATTGCACTGCAGGTGCCTGCTTCTGTTACTTAGGAAATGATTAGATGGAAGGTGATGGTTCCAATTCAATTTTAAAATGATTTGGTTGTTCTCTCATTTTCGGTAATTAATATGGCCTAACTTATGTTTATTGACCTGAAATCTTATAGTTGAGAGCATCAATTCAATTGGAATAGGGGAATTTTAATAACAAACATAGAAATCCAAAGAAATCTCCTTTTCGTAAGGCTATCTTCCTCCTTTCAGAACTGTTTTTATAGAAAACACTTTGCTCATAAGTACTTTTAGAAACACTTTTATTATAAGCACATTGAAATATTGTTAAACATTCAAGTAAGCTTTATAACCCATAAGTATTTTTTAGATTTTCCGCCAAACGCTTTAATTATTGGTTTTTTTCGGTTGTCAAAAACATACTTTTAGCCGTTTCAAAAGCAATATCAAACAAACTTCAATACGCAGTTGCTTTATAATAGATAGTAAAATAGAAAGACTCTTTTGTTGGGTCAAATGCCCAAAAAATACAATATATCATGGCCCAATAATGAGCCCTGGGCAACTTTGTCTTCGGCCCAATTAGGACCATCCCCATCTTCAACCTGAAGCTCAAGCAACCTAAGCTCAGGCTAGAGAGAAGCTGTTACCTGACGACGCTATGGCTTCAAAGCTGCTTCCCCTGAGAAGGCTGTCGAGGCTTCTCAAACCTCCATCTTCTGTTTCTTCTTCGACTTTCAGGTCGTCTTTGTATCTTCTAGAAGCTTCGAAATGTCTACATCTCTCTGAGAACAGTCACGGACCTCGTTGTTGGATTGATTCTAGAAGCTTCTGTTCTAGCCCCTTGAACCTCAACGATGCTGAAGTCCCCACCGCTATCGATTATAGGTACGTGCCAATTTTTCATCAAACTTTAGCTTCTGTTTGCTTACTAGCAAAAATAAGGAAAGGAAGTTTTGATTTTTTTTTAAAGGCTATTATGTGAGGGTTCCTAACATATTAAGAAGTTGATGTTGCTTCAACTAAGTTTCGTTTGCATTAATTTTATTGAAAGTTGCAAAATTTGTTTACTTAAGTTGTTAATCGATTAGAAATTTTGTAAAGATATTGATTTTTTTGGTGGAAATGGAATTTTAGTTGAAATTGTTGTTTCCTTAGAGGCCTAAAATGAATGTTGCTGATAAATTGATGTGAACACAGTTCTGTACTGCAGGAGGATGAATTTCACAGGCTAGCTGATACTACAATACATGATCTTCAAGAGAAATTTGAGGTAATTCTTTCCTTCCATTCCTTTTTCATGCTGAGTAATTCGAGTTTCGAACACATTATGCATTGGTTTCTTTCCTTTGGTACCTAACACATCATGCACTGTTATTTTGTTATCTTTTCATTGACAATCCTACTTGGACAGGAATATGGAGATAGCGTTCAAGTTGATGGCTTTGACATAGACTATGGGGTGAGAATGGCTGATTGTTGTTTGGAATTGATTAACTAATAAGGAATGTAATTTAACTTTTTGTAACTAATTGTGTTCGCATTTGGCAGAATGAGGTGCTGACCTTAAAACTTGGGGATCTCGGCACCTATGTTTTGAACAAACAAACACCAAATAGACAACTTTGGTTGTCTTCCCCAGTGAGGTATGTTTTCTAGTTGTCACTCTTGTTGGTTTCAGGTTTAAGTGTGTGATTGTGTATTTTATGTAGGATTTTAAAAACCAAGATCTGTTGTTGCATTGTGATCTATGTGTTGGTGTATCAAAATGTTTGTGAATCTTTTGATACCTTGGGTTCATGCCATTGTTTGGATTGCATCAACTAAATGTACAGTTTCTGTATGAGCAGTTTGGTAACCTGGCAAACTCATTGATTGTTTACTATCATTAAAACTGGATATTCTCAACAGGCAACACTAAGTGAGCTTATCTGTCACTGTACCAAGCTTATGCATATATAGAATGAAATGTGTGAATGAACATCTTTTGATCTTCAAATGATGTGCTATTTCATGTTTGGTCTTTGAGTTTACATCGGAATCCATGGCTTCTTCGTATTTCCTTGATAGAGGCATTATTTTTGTGCAATTCGTACACACCTTAGTGTGTGTTTGTGATTGGAAACTAAACATTTAAACTTGTGATTGAATGATAAAATACAGTATTTAAATATGATCTTACAATTTTCTAATAGTCTCTAGGTTTTTAGTTGAAGCGATGCAGGTATGAAATTATGCAGGCTTGAATTATGTGATTCTCATGAATGAAAAATCTCCCACAAGATTTGGGAAAGGAAGCTCAAACTAATTTAGGAAATGTTATCTGAAAAATGACTTTCAGAGCCTTGAATGGCATCCCTTAGATTGCAACCTGTGCCCTTCGTCTGCTACCATATAGGTTGTGTGTATGGCAAATCCCATCCATTTGGGCACAGTTTTATTTGTAATCAATCTCAGAAATCAATATTCATGTGCCAATATTCTGAGGGAAGACTTCTTACCATCATGCATGTGCCCAATCTTCTTCGATGCTTTCATGTATAACATGTTTACAATCTGATGGGCATTGACATTCCTTTTTGACGCTAACTAGACTGCCTGTACCTTTTGAGCCTTGTATTTACTGAAGGGGAATGCTTCACAATCCTGGTCATGTCTTTGATGTAAAATGCCATGTGATGTAAATTAGGTCTCATGTGATGTAAAATGCACTGTGATGTAAATTTGGTCTCTTGTAGTCACCATCTTGACAAGTACCTATACTGATATTGTAAAACCATGATAGGCATTTTTGTGCTCTTTCTCTATCTGGATCTAGCTTACTTATGCTGTTGAGAAATCCACGGCCGGGTTTAATACCCACTATTTTGCACCGTGCTTAACTAAGTTTTTCTTTTATTTTGCTAAAATATATATGTTCTTCATGCAGTGGTCCTTTCAGATTTGACTGGGATCGGAATGCTCAAGCTTGGGTTTATAGAAGGACCAAAGCTCATTTATTGAAACTTCTAGAAAGCGAGATGGAGGAACTGTGTGGCGAACCAATCAGCCTATCATAAACCACCCCAGAAGGTGGCCAATATAGTTTCACTCGGAAATTAATTTCAGTGCTGATAGTTTTTCTTCCAGAAAACATTTTGGAGCCCTCCACAGTAGGATGCTTTCGTTCGTGGTGTTTAGTTGTAATCTATCTTGATTAGTTAGTTAATTAATTTGTCAGAAAATTTGTTTGTTTTAAAAACTTGTTTTTGTGATGGCAATTATTCTGTGAATATGGTATAAGATTACGAGCATTCTAATAAGCCACAGATAAGCAGGCTTAAGGTTAAGGAGAAGGCAAGAACAAGAACTTCATGTCATTGTTTTAAGGCAACAACATTGTAATATTGTTTTTGGTATTAACAAAATTGTAATTTGACTTGTAAGCATAAGTTCTTTTCTGCATAGTTAACTAATAGCATCAAAAGAAAAATACTTCCCTCCGTCCGTTGTAAGTAGGAACTCCCACATTCATGCCAATAACAATTTAACATGTGTGCAAAAGTTTGTGTTTTTTATGAATTGCACATGTATCAAACCGTGATTTGCAGGGTATTAAATAAAATAAATAATGGAATTGCAAAATAAAAATAAGCAATGTGAAGTGTCATTTCCAAGTTGCAAAGGATTGATGATAGAATTAAGAACTGATATTTTGTAAGTTGTCCCTTTTGTTTATAGAGAAGGTAGTTTGAAATGAAGCACCTCTTAGTTGACATCAATTCAAGACTAATAAACATTTGATTTCTTTGCACTATTTAAAAGTAATATTATATTATGTTGACATAAAAAATCCCAATTTGGTTTAGGACTGAGATGAGATCAGATGATTCCTCTCAATCTAATACAACAGTTATTTCTTGTTGATATTAACATTTATAAATGTATAAAACGTAAAAATGAGATCAATAATTGAACGAACTAGAGGAGGTTTAGCACCATTAATTAACAAGTTAAGTATTTTAATGCAATACTAGGCTATTATTAGCCTACTAGATTATTATAGCAAAGGGCTTACTTTTCTGTACTTGGTTTTTATCCTCTCAAAATATGCCTTAGCTTTACCAATTGGGTGGCCAGAAATTAAAGTGAAAAATTTAGACGAACCTCCATTGTTGAATGTGGAACAAAATAGCATTTACCCGAAAACCTTGAAAAAACAAACTTTTAGATGTCATCGATTAGGAATTATTACTTCAAATCTAAAAAATAACTTTTACGTTCTTTCCACGTCATTGCACAAAAGAGCGTGAAATTTATAAGAATCATTGAATTCGGAAGACAGCGAGATAGTTACGTTCAGACTTATAAGAACCGTCAACTAACCATTGATAAAAGTGAGTCGCATAATCCATCAAGGACGCACAATCGTCCAAGTGCACGTGAGCTATTATCGATAAACGTTGGTAGTTTAATTCCACAGTGGAATTTCTTTACTTACCATTCTCTGACATACAGGAATTAAATGACATCTTACAAAGAATAGGGCGATGGAAAAACAAGCTTCTTTTGTCACCATCATGGTGTCATGTTTCATCAAGTCCTGGTCAGTAGAATTCCAAGATGAGTAAAAGACCTGCTAGCAGGTCCTTTCTACGTTTGTGGTTTTTTTTTTTCGGTTTAGAAATTTCAGAATCGTACAATTACATAGTGCCATACAACCAAACAACGCAACCATTAATTCCCCCCCAAAAAGAAAAAAAAAACACCTAAAACAATCCTCCACCACAAGAAAATAATCCTCTTCTTTTTCTTCCGACTAGCTCTCTTCTACTTTATGCCAATTGCCAAGGTTCCTTAATAACAACCCTTAAAAAAGTATTATTGTTAAAAAGGTGATTAGATTAAAGATCATTGGTTGATGAGCATGTGGCCTCTGCTGAGAAGAACAAGTGAGAGCCACTCTCAACCACAACCTCTTTACTTGGAGCTTTATTCTTGTTATTATTTATTTGTTTATGCTTAATCTCTCTGATTATGTATAATAGAGGTTTAATGAAGAAAAGATTGCCCCACTTGATGTGATGGCCGGCCTTAAATAAAACCTGCAATAATCTATTCTACAGAAGAAAAGATCTTCGTTTTCTCCATTAAATAATAATAATCAGCTTTGATTAAGGTCTTAAGCTCAGATATTTGTTGAGAAAACAATAAACAAACCTGCAAGCAAATATCCATCTACCATTATCTTTTGAGATTAAGAAGAAAACTCCCAAAGACAGAAAACGTAGAGTTGAACCACCAAGAGAATAAAATATTTATGAAGTACCCAATTAGGGCCTAACCTCATAACTCACAAAGTTATGACATGGTTGTGTCTAGTAAAAGCTGAAAAGCTAATTGGATACGTGGTTTAGTTGCACCCTATCATGATTTATAAATGAATTTTATTTGATGTAGATGTTGTTTTTTTCTCTCTTCTTCTCATAAGATTTTATCTGCTGCAAATGCAATTTATAGGGGAGATTATTTCGGTTGATGTCGGTAACATTGTGGATAATGTGAGAAATTTGTTTATGCATTTTTTTTTTTTAAAGGAAGTTCAATTTCGACCTAGAGAGTGTAACAAAGTGGCTCATGCTATTGACTGTTTTGCTTCACACGACCAATATCCTTATTATTGGTTAAAAGAAGGTCATGTGTGAGTGATGAATTAAATTGTTGATGACTTTATTGAAACCAATGCTTTTGCTTAATGAAATTTACTTCTTTTCGATATAAAATAAAATTCGAATAACTCTCTCCCTATAGATTAGATTAGTTTAATTTAATTATCGTTGTATGGAAAAAAAAAAAAAAAAAGTAGCTTGATCTACAACTACTACTTAGAACCAGTCAATCTTACTCAACCTCCCTACTATACAGGGGAGGGTGCAAGAAGACGTGTGGTATATGGAGCAAAGCTTGGGAATTCAGACAAGTACGCAACCCAACCAATCAATCTCAATTCTCAGCTCCCTATTATCATTCACTGGTTTTTGAAATATAACCGTTCAAAGGCACATTCAAAGGTCCCAATCTATAAGACTAAAGGCACCAACCGTTTCTATGGAGCATGGTTTATCCGCGTGCCACAGAATTGGCCATGGCATTTTCTGACACCTGCCATGCCTAAAGGAAAGGCCATCACGCCACCACCATCAAAGTGCACAGACAGACTCTATCAGGCTAGGTCTTTTACTCCACGCCACACATTTATGTGCCTCCACCACATTCTACTGCCACAGCCATACATTCTTACACCCAAAAATATCAAAATTTCCAACGACGCGTGAAAGTATTTTTGGCAACAACATATTCAGTTTCACTGTTTCTTGTGCTCTAATGAGAGTTATTAAAGTTTTAAACATATAAATTAAACAAAAAAAATTCATTTAACTATCAAATTTGTCACAAATTATTTGTGGGTAGATTTCTACCAAGTTTCAACTAGTGGAGATTCGAACACAACATATCAGATACATACACGGATAACTACTCTTAATCACTTGATCTACAAATTCCTTATTGTTTCCGCTATTTTGATGTCGATAAGATTATTAATTTACAACACCTGTTTTAAACAAGGATTTATTTGTAAATATACAATCAGTTTACACCATGTGATGCTCGAACAAGAATTTACTTCCTGGATAATTCCAATTAACGGCACATTAAGAACGTGACACCCCTAATTAAAAGGAAGAAAAAATCCAAGCAAGAAAAAAGGAAAATAAATTAAAAAGAAACACAAAGATTCCATTCCCATACGCCAAAAAGAAAAGGAGAAAAGCCTGCGTCCTACAAAATAGTTTCTTTACAATATATGGCACGACACGAAAATGAAGAATCAGAATTCCTTTCGCGGTTAAAAAAAGAAAAAAAATTCAAACAAATTGTCTGACTAATACAAATTTAACTACTGGTCAAATCAGGATCAGTTGAGACTGTTGTTAGGTAAGTAAAAGAATTATCATAAACTACCTCATATCCGACGGCCAGGACGCTCCGAAGCGTCAAGATCGAAGGCTATCTTCCCGGCGATATATCATCTTCGACTCAATAACGGGTTCGGACGGCGAACCCGGCCTGTTTAGATCGATTCTCCGGTCTTTTCGTGGTCGCGAGGAGTCAAACAAAGTGGCTCCGCCGTCGGGTTCGGCCCGACTCGTTTGAGCTGCCGAAGCTGAGCCGTACCTCCGTCGAGAAGATGAACGGTCGAGATCGTCCTGTGATAGAAGCACGCACGAACCTTAACCGTTGTAAAACGGGAATCAAAGACAGTTTTGAAAGAAAATAGCGAAAACAGAGCAAAACGTACCTGAGAGCGAAGATCCGGAGCCGTTTCTCTGATTCGCTTCAACGAAACGGTGGTGGCCGTTTTGGGACCTTCTGTATCGCCATTGTTTAACACACTCGCAGCCTCTTCGCTGCTCGATGAGCTCGGCGACGGTGGAGGCGGGGTCGTCGAAGACCACGGCACCACCTGATTATCTCCGTCCTCATCAAAATCATCATCATCATCATCTGGATCGTTATCGGAGTCAAATTCATTATCATTGCCGCCTTGGCTCTCTTCGTCTTCGTCTTCGTCTCTGCTTTCATCTCTGACCACACAGCTCTCGCACACGGAAAACGTATGGCCGAGCTTCGCACCGGAGGCCTTCCAAGGCGTCGGAGACTGGCACGCGTGGCAGAGAAGGCTCCTAGAGTGCCTCGCCACCAAGAAATTGGCACCGTGAACCTTGGCGTCGCAGTCCCAGCACAAAATCGCCTGGTCCGATTCGCAATAGGTTCTTGCAGGAAGTTGGCACAGCTCGCAGTTCTTCATCTCTCTTGCAAAAGGACTCAAAGTCCGTCTTGAGTTTTCAGATTTTTCCTCTCAGTTTCTCTGTGTTTTCTCGGAATTTTATTCTCTCTTGTACGGGATGGGTGGGAAAGAAGAGAAAAGGAAGGAAAGGACCACTTGCAGTGTTTTATAGCAACAACCTTGCTTTTGCTTTTAATCACGATTATACCATTCACGGTACAAGTTTTGACGTATCATCTTCTCAACCTGCAAACATTACACCAATGGTAAATGGAAGATAAGTAATAAAAAAATATATATATTTACCTGGCTTGCGAATGATCACACGTATTTAATTTTATTTTTAAGCTTCGAGCTTGATAATGTTGTTGCTTGAATTTGATCAACTTTCTCCCATAATCTCAAAAAATCTATTTTACGCAATGTATATAATTTGCAGGTAATTGCACGGATATGAAATTTACTTATTTGGTGAGGAAATGGCAGGTGATTTTGGTAAAATAAAAAAGAAAATCTTGTCATCCAATTCCATAAAATTGACCAAAATTTAAGTCTAATTTCTTTTCAACGAGAGGAGAAGAGAGGAAAAGAAAATGATTTGAATACCAAGTAAACGAGGGTAAAAAAGTCATTATATAATAGTAAATGGACGCTAACGACCCAGAACCTCTTGGGTTGTGTGTGAGAACACCACCACAATGGTCCAAAAGGTTGAAAGGTTGAGAGAGAGGACCAAAAGCTGAGGCTGTGGTGCTTCGCGGTGCCAGGTGTCGGCTTCTGAGGGAACAAAAGCTTTATGTGGTCTGAATATATCCTGAGGGGCCCTTCGGTCTTTGCATCTTTGGTTGGTGCAGCCCTTGCAGGATATTTTTAAATCGTTGGTTCGCATGGCTGACATGTCGTCCAGGTGGCAGATATCAATGCGGGAGATTCTATTCGCTTACGTGTCGTCATTTGGGCCATCGAACCACGTGGGTCTTTGCACCTGCAATTGATTTTCTATGTATTACGTGTACACTGGGCCCCAACCCGTGCGATTTTCAGCCCTGCATTTCGCCGCTCCGAATGATGTCCACCTCTAATTCTTATGGTTGCTTTGATTAAAAAATTTATAAGATATTTTATGAATGAATAAATAAATAAATAAATACAGTTAAAGATAAGACTCATGAAGTCCACGCGCTCAACATGCCATTCGCCAGTCCTCCTCGGTCTAGAATGAATGACAATGAACGAGTGGCTGGTTATTCTGCAATAACACGACTCGTCGTTTATTGAGAAATAGATATAACCTAACCTGTACACTAGACTAGGGGTAGGTATGGTTCGAGACCGACTACCAAACCGGTCCAGTCGGTAAGGCCAAATCCGTAATCGAAATCGAAAAATAAGGCCCATTTTGATCAAAAATGGTAAACTGGGCCTAGGTGTTTGGGACGGTCATATCTCAATTTCAGCTAGAATAATGAGAGATTATAGTGAGGGGTCCTTAATAGCTATCCAATTCAGAGTTATTATGGAAATATTGGATTGAACCCGTCATTGCAACTCCTCAACATAGCCCTTGTTATAGAAGCTCCTTGTTTTCTAGTTTGTCATTTTTGCAGTTTTAAGGCCCAAATTTAATAGGGCCACTAATAATTCAAGCCACCCAGTTTACAGGTTTTTCTTACTGAACCTGATATAGATTCACCAACACTATTTCATATTGCCATGAGAAAATTGAAAAATCCACAACAATCAGCCTGGATATTTGTAAAGTTCAAATAAAGACCAAAGAAGAAGGCTATAAGCTGCAAAGTTCATAGTTCAACAATGTATATCATTCATCAACTTCAGCTCTTTTGATCAGTACATGTAATCGGTTCATCTTTCTTAGATTGAACGGCAATAAGATAAGTTGACGTTCAATCTCTAGGGCGGGTTTCCGCTGAGAACGGAATAGTGTTCGTGTCCAAAGGCGAACAACGCCCTAGCTTCTAGAGTTTGCTGCTTTTCCCAGGCCGGAGAAGGTCTTATACCGCTCACCTTTGTTTGATATGTTCATTCAGTACCAATACAAACTACAACTACACAAAAAAAAGGAAGGGCTGCTATAGAAGCTAAAAGTAGCCTATAGTAGAGTAGTCGGCCTAACAAAAGCGTCACGGCAACATAAAATTCCCCTTATGAATGTAATCTTAAGTAGGGGGCTTAGGCCGCCCGCCTACCAATCAAAGAGGCTGAGAGTAAGCATAAGCTCACCCATAAGCTCTTCGAGCTTCCCTTCATTCACTTCGCGGGAGCCGCACAGTTAGCTATTTCAAAACGATAATCACCGTTGGATCTACAATGTATGTCATACAAGGTTGTATTTCATGGCGGGTAAGGTTGAGCCTAATCTACAAATGCATCTATTTTTAATCGGTTATCATATCCGAATGGTATTTAAACGGTCAAATTCAACTTATCACTCTATATCTAGTAAAAATCAAATTTGCATCAAATCAGATTATTATCATATTCATTTTAAATCTTTTCATAATAACGAAATGATAACGCTAATCCAATCCATATGTTTTTTAACAGCTTACAAATATGGAGTGGGCTAAACGTTACTTCACTAACAATGCTGGGCCACCAACAAAGAAACGTAAAAGGAAGAAGGAAAGAAGAACTTCGTCAACAGTAGGGTAAGCCCAGCCCAACTGAAATGCGGTTGCCTCCAAAAAATTTCTCAAAATCTCAAAAATTGAAAGCAAAATTTGATTTTCAGAGGGAAGAAAAGCCAGCGATAATGGGGCTCCAGCAGCTTGGTTCGTCATCATCCTCGTGGTCACGGTTTCCTTCTCGACGGCATCGGAGTGAGGTGGTGTGCACGGAGCAGCCATGGACGACGAGATACTCGCTCGCCCGTCGCCGCAACGTTCTCGATTTACCATTGGTATGCTCCTGCTTACTTAATCCGCTTATTTTCTTGCTCTGTGAAAACAAAAATTAAACTGCTTTGGAAATTGTTACTTGTCATTTAATTTTGATTTGCATAATTGTCAAGAGAAAAAAAAAATCAATTCTTAATATATATTTTTTAATTTCTTGCTCACTGCTGCCATGGGTAAAATGGGAAATTTCGAAATATATGAAGTAGGTAGGACAAAGGAATTTGAGACAGAAATTTACAAATAACAAAATGAGAGGGAGGGAGATAAATGAAAGTAAATCAGTGGACCTTTACTCAGACGACCTTAACTTGACATTGAGCTAGTTACTAGTCTCTTCAATCATGCAGCTTCCTGTAGTCATGTGAAAACATTGAGTGATTGCTACAGGAATAACATTTTCTGCTTTGGCTACCAAACTCAGACGACCTTGACTTTAGATTGAGCCAGCTACTAGTACGCTTCAATCATGCAGCTTCCTCTATAGTCATATGAATACGTTGAGTGATTGTTATAGGAATAACATTTTCTGCTTTGGCTGGTATATCAAGTGTTTGTTCTAGGTGCAAATTGCAGAGCACTAATGGCGTAAATCTCACATTTTCTGATAGTAAACAAGGAAAATGGCTTATTTTGGTAGGAGGGAAACAAATGAAGGTTGATACGACTACCAGTAGACTCCCTCGAGCCAAGCACATGTGTTTGGCTCCCAGTATTATGTTTATTTCAAACCTTTCATGGTTTGCAAATCGCATGCTATCTTCCATCTTCTCCTCCTATGCGTTACTCTTGTTGTGCTTTTCTCACCACCTGTTTTGCTCTGCTACTGCTAGAGATACTCTAACGTCACACGACGATCCAATTAGGAACGACAGATCAGAAGGTCTTGTTTCAGCTGGAGGAAGATTTGAACTGGGATTCTTTACACCACCATCTACAGGAGCAGGAAGGTCTGGCAATGGAAGATATGTTGGTATATGGTATCATCAACTGAATCCAAGGACAGTTGTATGGGTTTCCAACAGAGATAAGCCAGTTCCTGCCAATTCCACTGGGGTTTTTGCAATCAAAGAAGGTAACCTCCATGTGTTGGATGCAACTACTAAAGAGTATTATTGGTCAGCAAAGATTGGAGCCTCCTCTTCTGCTCTCAACCCGATGGTGAAGCTCATGGATTCTGGGAACCTGGTGTTAAGTGATGGTAACGATCGGTTGGCAGTGAATAATATTTTGTGGCAGAGCTTTAATAGTCCAACTGATACATTCATTCCTGGGATGATAATGGATAAAAACTTGGAATTGACTTCATGGAGAGGTGAAGACGACCCAGGAATTGGGAACTTTACCTTCAAACTAGACAACCAGAATCAGTATATGATCACAAAATTGAAATCGATTATTTACTGGAAAAGTCAAGAGCCAGTAATTGGTACATCTGTCATCTCAGATGAAATGCCTCCAGCAGTTGCTTACTTATTATTAAATTTCAGCCAGAGTTATTTAAAAAAAAAAAGCTCCAGCAGCGTTTTCACATCTACAAGTCGGAACTCTTCTTATAAGCACATAGCAATTCTGCCACGGACAGAATACAATTATACAAGATTGGTGATAGATTTTACGGGGACTATACAATTTTGGAGGTGGCTTGAGAATAAGTGGACTAGGATATGGTCAGAGCCAAAAGATCAATGCAGTGTGTTTAATGCTTGTGGGAACTTTGGCAGTTGTAATAAGAATAATGGGCCGTCAGTGTGCAAATGCTTGCCAGGCTTCAAACCCCAGTCTCTAGATAAATGGAATTCTGGGGACTTTTCTGGTGGATGCACAAGAGAGTCCCCATTATGTCTCAAAGAGGAAACATTCTTCACTTTAAAGATGATGAAAGTTGGAAATCCAGACATACAAAATGATGCTAGCAATGAAACAGAATGCAAGAACACCTGCCTCCCCAACTGCGGGTGTACTGCTTACTCATATGCTGAAGCTGGTAAAACAAAGAGAAGGGATGTTTCTACTTCCATGTGCTGGATATGGAACTCGCAGAATCTAGATAGTCTTCAAGAAGAGTATGCTGACGGCCGAGACCTCTCTGTTCGCGTTGCCTTGGCTGATTTAGGTATTCTACTTCTCTATTGTCTTTCACTTCTTCCTATGTTCGTGTACACAATCATATTGGCTATTATTATCTGCTTAAGCTAGCTAGCTACATATCCAAAATTTATCAAATTAATGTACGGAGAGAACTAATGACACCTTGTGCAGAATCAACCGTAAGAGACTGCGAACCTTGTGGCACAACCATGATTCCTTATCCCCTGAGCATCCAACCGGGTTGCGGTGATCCCCTGTATTTTCGTTTCAAATGCAACGCCTCCACAGGCCAGGTTAGCTTCATGGGACCAAGTGGCTATGGGACCTATAGAGTCATTAGCATAAATCCAAGGACAAAAAAATTTCTCGTAACTGTAGATAACTGCGATTCTAGAAACCGAGGCGAAAACCAGGAGCTGAACCAGCTGCCATTTAGGGTAATCAAGTGGTGCCGTGCAAACGTGGGAAACTTTAGTTCTGAAGATTCATCCAGCAGTTCTCCGGTAACAGAGATGGGTTGGGATCCACCCCTTGAACCAACCTGTAATACATTTGCAGACTGCAGGGGTTGGCCATATTCAACTTGCAATCCAGCAAAAGATGGAAAGAAAAGATGCCATTGCAATGCAAACTTTCGATGGAATGGCTTTAACTTGAATTGTACTCAAGGTGAGAATATCATGTTAGGCATATAATTGCAATGATGCATGTGCCTCTTGCAAATTCATATTTCCTATTGAGTTCCAACAGTGCTGCCAAAGATGATGTATTAGCATCGCTAAGTAAGGAGTGTTTTGATTGTGATTTAATTTTTTTCCCATTAGCTGAACCATTTTATTCAGATTTTGCTAATAAACTGTGATGGTCAAACCCTCCAGCACTTTTGAACTGTGGATGAATTCTGCTTGTGTTCCAAGGGAGAACAAAAGAAGTAAATCCCATAAGTTCTTAGGTGTTTCCTATACTTTTCAAAATCCTGTTTTAACAAAATCTTCATTAAATAAACGTATCACATATTGTGATAATCTATTTTAGATTAATTTAAAAATCATAATTGAGAAAGGAACTGAAACCAAGTAGAGTTTGACTGAATCCAAATATTTATTGGCTTATTATCACTGAATTATGCCGTTTTAAATGATAGTAAATAACACGTACATTGTCATTGCTTTCTTGTTGAAGGTGGTCCTCAAGTAGAGCCATTTAAACCGCCACTAGAAGAGCATTCAAGAAGACAAATACCATTGTCTCTTATAGTTTTGGCCGTGCTTGTTATCATCATTTTTGTGGCATGCATCATTTCTATTTATATATGGAGAAGAAAGATGACCAGTGAACGAGGTAACCACTTTGCTATATGCACAACCTGCACAAACAAACATCTGCAGAATTGTTTCTATTGAATGAGAATAAAACTCTTCAATTCCATGTATTAGATCAAATAAGTCGAGGACAGTTTGATAGTGAAAGACGACTCAAAGAGTTGATAGACACAAGTGAGTTCAAGGAAGAAGAAAGTATAGATGTCCCCCTCTTTGATTTGCAAATCATACTAGATGCTACGGATAATTTCTCAGATGCAAACAAGCTTGGACAAGGGGGCTATGGGCCTGTTTATAAGGTAATTTAGGAAGACTTGTTTGCCATTTCTTAGCAACTGAATCACTTTAGCAATAATTATTTTTTTAACCCGTAAAAAAGAATTTGTCATTAATGTTCATATATTCTTGTTAGTGTAAATTTGTCTAAGGGATTCTGTTGCCAGGGCAAGTTCCTTGGAGGTCGAGAAATTGCAGTAAAGAGGCTATCAAGGGTTTCAGGACAGGGCTTACAGGAATTTAAGAATGAGGTGGTGCTGATTGCCAAACTTCAACATCGAAACCTTGTTAGACTTAAGGGATATTGCATGAAAGGAGAAGAAAAGATTTTACTCTATGAGTATATGCCTAACAAAAGCTTAGACTTCTTTATATTTGGTTCGTTCCTGGTACTCATTTCAATATGTTTAAGGCACAAAATATTGTTTGTTTGGTTGACTAATTGGTGATCTATCAAAGCCACTACGTTTTTCTCTAAATGGAAAATTTAACTTTGCAGATCGTACTCAAAAAATGTTTCTCAATTGGGAGATGCGCTTTAACATCATTCTGGGAATCACTCGAGGACTTCTTTATCTTCATCAAGATTCCAGATTGAGGATCATTCACAGAGATTTGAAAACTAGCAATATTCTCTTAGATGAGGAGATGAATCCCAAAATATCTGACTTCGGCTTGGCAAGGATTGTTGGAAGTAAAGAAATTGAGTCTAATACAAACACAGTAGTTGGAACTTAGTAAGTTTTGTGTGGACGATTTATTTTCAGAGTGGATGTTTCACTCGTTGTAGCACAAATTACAATTCCCTGACCCTTTAGAATAAAGTTCTTTGGTTCTTGCATAATACCTGAGTGTTATAAGCATCCGTGATGCAGTGGTTACATGTCTCCAGAGTATGCATTAGATGGAACTTTCTCAGTGAAATCGGATGTGTTTAGCTTTGGTGTGGTTGTTCTTGAGATAATCAGTGGAAAAAAGAACACAGGATTCTACCAATCCAAAGAAACTTTCAGCCTCATAAATCAAGTAAGTGCGTTGAATCTTTCATATCCGTTTAACCCCATTTTATAGTCCACTATTTTTGAATGTTAAAATTTTCTCAGGCATGGAGGTTATGGAAAGAGAACAAGGTGTTGGATTTAATGGACAATAATTTGGATGAAAGTTGCAACAAAAGTCAATTCATCAAGTGTGTAAATGTTGGGCTCTTATGAGTACAAGAGGACCCTGTTGACCGTCCCACCATGTCAAATGTTCTTACCATGCTTGACAGTGAAATTGCAATCCCTCCAACTCCCAAGCAACCAGCTTTTGTCATGAGGAGAGGCAACAGCTCTAGCACAGCTTCTTCTTCTACTAAGCCAGAAACATTTTCTGAGATAACTACTACACTAGTAGAAGGTAGATAATTATAGCAAGGTAAGAGGCTGTAATTTGTCCTTTTATAAGTAAACTTTTTTATCTCGTATTTTTCTTTATATTCAACTTTAATTTTTCCTTTGTGATCTTTAAGTGATTAAATACTTCGGTGGATGAGACTACGCCAAACACTTTAATTGTAAAAGCCCTCTCTACTATTATGTTGGTCATTAAAATTTGACTTCTTTGTAATGTGACTTGGATTGGATTCATTGTGTGTTTTTTTTTTCTTCGCGGATTCATCAGTTGACTGAGTCAGTTCAAGTGCACTAAGAGGTGGAGATCAAGAGACTGAACAACACCAGAATCCATAAGCCTCACTGTCAAATTTAAAGACTTGGGTGTTTGAAGCCCTGTTGACCAATAAGACTCATCAGTAAAATCATCCAACACTTGGAGGTTACCTTTTTTTTTTTTTTTTTGGGTTGGTCTGACGCTTGGAGGTTACCTTGTTTGATTGCAAAAACTCAAGTTCTAGTTGAATTTATAACAACTAGCTTTTCTCTGTTACCAACCGAAACAACCGTCCTTGGACTCAGATTGTGATACCAAATGCCAACATATGTTCTGTCAAGGCCAGAGCTTTATGCAGATGAAATTAAAGGGGTACTAAAGAATCCCAGATCAAATTTTCCTCCAGCCGAAACAAGAGTTTCTGATTCGACGTCGTCTCGAATTGGAGTGTCATATGTCAGTGTATCTCTAGCACCGATACGCCAGATTTTGGGGGTATGCTCGTATCCGATACGGCCCCGATACGATACAGCATCGACACGTATCCGATACGCCACGTGGCGTATTGTAGACTTTTCTGGGATGTTGACTTTACGATACGGCTCCGATACTCCATTGATACGGTCACGATACGCTGGCGATACTGTCCCGATACGTCAAGGGGTAACTTTGACGACAACCAAAAGAGAAGAAGAAGAAAAAGGAGGAAGAAGAAAAGAACTTAATTGCGCCTGCAGATTGCAGCTGCTGCGAATTTGCAGTTGCAGACAGTTGCTGAGGCGGCTAACTAGTGAAGAAGATGATGTTGGGTGCCCTAATTACAATACGCAGCGTTTTAGTTGCATGTTAGGTGGCCTTTGTTTGTCTTTTACCTTTTTAAGTCTGATGCATTCATTTGGGCCCAGCCCAAAAACTGAAACAAGTCATACATGGCCTAGAAAAACACAAGTAACCAGAAAAAATGGCCCAAAATGCTAATTTTACTCACACATACATACATATATATAAAATATATAATTTAAAATATATATGTTTATATATTTATATTATTTTAATCACCGTATCGGTGCCGTACTTGTATCCTACTTTTTGGAGATTTGCCGTATCGGCATATCGTATCGTATCGCAGTACCCATATCCGTATCGGTGCAACATAGGTTGTCATAGCACAACAAGAGCAACCATGCTGACCATGTAATGCTGCAATTTGATCTTGCAATCCTTCTTCTTCTTCTTCTTCTTCTGCAAACCATCATGAAAGTTGGTGTTGGCATGAGCCATAATTCAGGGATCCCATGATCCTTGACTTCATGGTGTAATTCACGTTACCTAATTAGAATAATTACCTAGTTAGGATTCTTTGTAATTAGCTAATTACTTTTCCTACAAGGAAAAGTCAACTTGTACTTGTATATATATCCTCATATGGGATAAATATAATATCAATCACAATTATTCAATCATGTATTTAGTTTGAGTTGGTATCAGAGCTGGTTAACCCCGGTCTCTCAAACAAAAATACAAACCCTACCCATCGGCATCCTCTAGCACCGAATAAAAGAAAAAAAAACCCAGTTGCTGCAAAACAGCGGCTAAGCCCTTGTCGTCACAAACCTAGTGTGGCAAAAGACTCCTACAACACCAACTCATCCAAACTTGTTATATCTCCTCCATGGCTTTCGAAGATACCCTAGACAACATCACCGCAGTCGCAAAATCCAGTTCTTCCAGTGCTTTAGAAACCCGCAAAAATCTTGACATGGCGCAAGTCAATTGTTACAGTTCGCAACCCGGTCTTCCTTCTGCCCGGTAACTGGCGCTACCTCGGGTATCTCAACCTCACCCACGGTGCTCATGCTGAGCCACTAAATGGGCCGAGAAGGACCCATGCCAAATTTGACTTATATATGGCATATTATTAGAGAAAAGAAATAGACTTGAATTTAAGATATAAATGTAATAATATTATGTATTATTTTTCTCTAACACAAATGTAATTTAATAAATGGGCTTTAAAGGGGTTGGCCTAGCCCATTGGTCATAATTACCTTGTCCGGGCATGGCCCAAATGTATTGGTCGTGTCGTGTCAGGCCTTACTTAAGCAGGTCGTGCTCGTGCCATATCGGGCCTACCCGGTCCGTTTGAAACCTCTAGTTTAGTGCTGGTGAAGATGATAAGTTTTTAGTGCAAAATATTTTGTGGCTGAGCTTTCAACATCCAACTGATACATACATTCCTGGGATGGTAATGGATAAAAGTTTAGAATTGACTTCATGGAGAGACCAAGATGACAAAGGAATTGGGAAATTCACCTTTAAGCTAGATCACGAAGGAGACAATCAGTCTGTTATTTCAAGAAAATCAATTGCTTATTGGAAAAGTGGAGAGCCAGGTGAGTTTTCCACCAACTGAAATGCCTCATTCTATAGCTGATCTGTTATCAAATTTCAACAAGAGTATTGCCAGACCTACAAGTCCAATTAAGTTTAATAATTTTGTAATAATTATGACAAGATTGGAATACAATTATACAAGAATGGTGATGAGTTTTACTGTGGAGGTATTGTTTCTGACTTGGCTTGAACATGCAAAGGAGTGGAAGCTGTTATGGCCGGAGCCAAGAGACCGATGTAGTGTGTCAGCCCGAAACCAAATGAGCCTGCCTGTTTAAAGTCCATTTATTATGGGAGCTGATTTCCCCACTCTCATTTTCTACACTTACACTCCCTTTTTCTTTTTAATACTTTTTAATCAATTTTGTTATTTCTCTTTCTTATTCTATCCTTACCCTACATTAATTTCTTTTTTACTTCACTTTTATATTATTTCTTTTTCTTTATACTTAATTTTCCAACTTACACTCCATTTTTAGTATTAAAGGGAAAAAAAAAACTTAATTTCTTACTTGATTAAAGGAAAAAAATAATACTAAAAATGGAGTGCAAGTTGGAAAATTAAGTATAAAGAAAAAGAAATAATATAAAAGTGAAGTAAAAAGAAATTAATGTAGGGTAAGGGTAAAACAGGAAAGAGAAGGAACAAAATTGATTAAAAACTATTAAAAAGTAAAAGAGAGTGTAAGTGGAGAAAAGGGGAGTGGGGAAATCATATCCTTTTATTATTACATTTATATCTTAAATTCAAGATTATTTATTTTCTCTAATAATATGCATTAATCAAATTTAGCTTGGGCCCATCTCGGTCTATTTAGTAGCCCGACACAAGTAGGACCCAAGCTCATATGGGGTTGGGTCATGGACTTAGGACAGGATTGATGATTTTCATAAATGAACGGGCCCGACACAACCCGTTTATTAAATGGGCAGACTCTAAGCGAACCGGGCTGGTCTGATTTGACACCTCTAGTTAAGTGGGAATTTTCTTGTCAAAGATTTCTATCTTCCTCTTCTTTAAATTCTTGGTCACTGATTTTCTAACCTTTCTTCATATACCCACATGGGTTAGGCTAAATACTTCCTTTATATGCATATTATCATGTGTAGTTTCTAGAGGTGTCAAATGGCCGTGTCGGGTCTGACCGATCCATTTAGAGTTGGCCCTTATGAAAATCATCAATCCCGGCCTAAGCCAATATGGGCTCGACTGTGATCGTGTCGAGCCACTAAACGGGCTGAGATGGGCCTATGCCAAATTTGACATATGTATTGCATTTTTTTTTTTGTAATTTTTTTTACAACTTCATTTAAATATTTTTTACAATTATACAAACAAGATTTATTAGTTGTTAAAAAAAGTGGCCATTAAATTTCTTTAAAGTACATATAAATAAAAAATGAGTAGATTATTGTATGGATTTTAAAAATTAAAACTTGAAAAATAAAATCATTATTTTATATATAAAGAAAACATTAAATTTTAATCATATTATTATAGAAAAGAAATAGACTTGAATTGAAGATATAAATGTAATAATATTATGTATTATTTTTCTCTAACACAAATGTAATTTAATAAATGGGCTTTAAAGGGGCTGGCCTGGCCCATTGGTCTTAATTACCTTGTCCGGGCATGGTCCAAATGTATTGGCCGTGCAGTGTCAAGCCTTACTTAAGCAGGCTGTGCTCGTGCCATATCGGGCCTGCTTGGTCCGTTTGAAACCTCTAGTTCAGTGATGGTGAAGATGATAAGTTTTCAGTACAAAATATTTTGTGGCTGAGCTTTCAACATCGACCTGATACATACATTCTTGGGATGGTAATGGATAATAGCTTAGAATTGACTTCATGGAGAGACCAGGATGACCCAGGAATTGAGAAATTCACCTTTAAGCTAGATCACGAAGGAGACAATCAGTCTGTTATTTCAAGAAAATCAATTCCTTATTGGAAAAGTGGAAAGCCAGGTGAGTTTTCCACCTACTAAAATGCCTCATTCTATAGCTGATCTGTATTCAGCTAAAAATAATCTCAATGAAATAATCCTTCTTAGCAATACTATTATCTCAACATTGCAGCAGGACTAGTCTTGACTCTCAAAAAATATTGATTTCCAGCAAAATTTTATGTCTAACATGACGTTCTCACCTTGAGTACAATTTAAGCCATTCCACTTAAAATTGGAATTGCAAAGGCATTTTTTCTTTCCATCTCTAGTTGTAGTGCAAGTTGAATGTGGACAATCCTTACAGTTTGCAGATGTTGTACATGTTGGTTCCGTTAGCGGCTCCCAACCAACTCTATTACTGCACTTAGTAGCTCCAAATGAAACTTCAGAACTAAAATTTCCTGGGGTTTATATTGCACCAACTGATCACCTTAAATGGCAGTGACAGGTTGAGCTGCTGACTTTTGGATGTGTTTCAAGGATCATAATTATCCGCATCTTTTGCTTGGATGACAAATCTTCGTGTACTTGGGTTGATGCTAATAACTCTAAACAAGGTTTGATTCGGTCCCACGAAGCCAACCTGTCATCTGAATGTGTTGTAGTTGAAACGTAAGTGCATGGGGTCACCACAATCCAGTCTAGTGCTCAGGGGATAAGGTATCATGGTTGTGTTGTGCAAAAACACTCCAAGACCTTGTCGTTGATGGACTATGTGATGACACACACAAACCACTTTGAGAATAAAGCACACATACCAAAGAGAGAAAGCAAACACACAAAAGAGCACAAAGATTTATAGAGGCCTCATGCCTACGTTCTTTTTATTTTCTTATCTTCACTAGGAAATCAAATGGAATTGGGCGATCCAATCCCTGTGGGATCGACCTCGAACTTACATAAGCTTTATTACCAACAGTTCGTGCTCTTGCGAGTATAATGCATGTTTAAAATAATCTTTGTTTTGCAGGTTGTCTAAAACACCACAA